CCATGGCCAACCATGATTTCCAACCTATGACCGTCGGCAAAAAACCTGAGGACGCCCGATTTGCGCGAACGTGTGGTGAATAACATGGTGGTGGGTTTCTTGTAGAGAAACGATCTTTGGGGTGGGAGTCCTGGGAGTTAATGGAAACTGATATGCCATTTAACTATATTTAACTAACCAAAATGGTGGTTTAATATGGATATACTGGGATATAATGGAGATATCATGGGATATGAAGGGGATATAATGAGATATACCCTCCTACAGTAGATGGACAAAAAAATCAAAGCCTACAGACATCTACCAAGTAAAACCCCACACCCCAAATTTCAATGTTGAACAAAACTCTATCTAACTTCCTCTGCGTTCAGGGTTTGATTGTTTTTGTCCACCGGTGCCAAGCGCAGCCCAAAGACAACATTGAAATTTGGGGGTGCGGGGGTTGACAACAATACAGCAAGGGTTTGATTTCATCGTCCATCTACGGTATGTCATCATCGCCATGGCTTGCTAGAAAATCTCTCATTGAGTTTGATGATCTGTCCAGCTAGAAAAATGCCATTTATCATGGATTTCCCAGCTTGCCACGTTTGATTGCCGAAGGGTGCGGGTATACCCCATAAATCCCCATAATAATGACGTTATATACAAACGGGAAAAAGAGTGGTAAATCGTGGTAAAGAATCAGCAACTCGTGCGGCTACCCTTGCTTAGGTTTGAAAGTCTCATGGTCAGTGGTACGTATCAAGGGATTGCCTACAGTCCTATTTAAAAAGATCCAAAAAGGGTGGGGATGATCAGCCTCAACTGATGTGTTCTGGTGGAATTTCTATGGCTGCTCGGCATTTTTTGAATTTGACGACATTTTCTGGGGGTTCAAAGCTTGCCATGTCATGTCCCTGTTCATATCTGGTTGGTGGTTTGGAAATTGTTTATTGTCCATATATTGGGAACAATAATCCCATTTGACTTTCATATTTTTCAGAGGGGTAGGTATACCACCAACCAGTTAGAAATGGCTATTTCTATAGGGTTATAATTCCATATAATTCCATACATGGGGTGATTGTGTTTGCTCCAAACGTTACATATCCCCAAAATTTCTAGGTTTTGAAATGATCCGAAGAGCCCATGATGACGTGAAAAAACGGTGTGTAAAACCCAGCGCCAAAGTTATAAGTTGGTTTATAATCCCCAGTAACTATAGTTAATTTTGTACCATAAACCATAGTGAAATTGGAGTTTTCAAACCAACTTAGCTATCGTAAACGGGGGCCCCACTTTGTAATACTATCCAGGAAGGAATGCGGCTGGGTTTTAAACTTTAAACTTTAAGCAATCTACATAATCTACATCACTGCTCGAAAGAATATCCTAATTGAATACAGTCTTGGGATGGGAGACTGTGAAAACATCATCCAATATTACTTGATGAGTGCCATCACACATTTTTTTGCTATCTACATAGAGATTCAACCTTGCGACTCAGCGACTCCACCGTAGGGCCACGAAGTGGTTTGTGATAGCCCAAAGCTGATGGCTTCATATGACCATGTCTTGGATCTACCCATATTGGATTGCACCCACTATACCTGTTGTTATAAAATGTTATCAATACCTTTTGCTGCACCTTTGGCTACACCATTTTTTTTTACCCATTCTAGTAACCCAAAAAGATAGAAAAGTTGTAATTTCTCACTAGTTTTACTGACTTTAGTCGGATTTGACCAGTTTCTATCTTTGTGGGGCCCTAAACCCTAAACCCTTGAATGGATCACCCCATGCAACGGTGTTTTTGCAAGTCATCAGTGGGTTCTTCCCGTTTTTGATGGGAATCTGATGGTCCCAATTTTATGGTTTGAAATATGGGCCATACCAATCCAAACATCTATGATTACTATGATAACTATGGTTAATAGTGGATAATAGATGATATCTATGGTGAATAGATGATAACTAGGGTAATTTAACATAGCGAACTGGAAAATCACCATGCTATTCATGGGCAAATCAACTATAGATGGCCATTTACTTTGCCCGTGCTCTATCTTATCCTAAGTTTGGTATGTGCTGTCACGCCAGCACATCCTTTTGCCTCATGGTATTGACATCAATCAATGGGAATTTCAGGATCCTAAATCCAATACATGGAGGTTCTGTACCACATAAGGCCATATGTTGAGGGGATATTCCCTTACATAGGCCTAAAAAAATAGGCCTTATATATGGAATCGGTACCTCCAATAGATCGGTTCCTGAAATGGCAATTGATTTCATTCATGTTCGTTTCTTGAACTGGATATACCCAGTTTATGTATGGTTTATCATGGAAAATCACTGAAATGGATGATGCATGGGGGGTACCCCCCATGACTTTGGAAACCTCCAGTTGGAATCCAGGGGATTATTCCCCAAGTCCCTCATAAAAATTTACATGGATGTTTGTATACAACGTGGGGCTCCCAAACGTGATGTGAACGTAGGTTTATAATCCCCAGTAACTATAGTTAATTTTGTACCATAAACCATAGTGAAATTGGAGTTATGTTCACCAACTTGTCGCGATTTCGTTTCAGGGGGCCCCACTTTGTAGCATTATATAATGATAATATAATACCCCTGGCCCATGAGTCAAGAGGAAAACAGCTCCACTGATGGGAAGTTGGAAAAACTGCCAAATCGATACACTGCCAAAACAAGGGCCGTGAAGTGAGGCCTGGAATCCTGGTTGATACCCAAAATACGGGCCAAACATCTGTCTGCGGCCACACCAACAAGCCTCTTAAATGGGAAGCAAGGGGTATACCATTATATCCCATAATTCCATAAGTTGTATGTATATGTATATGTATATATATATTGTGTACATGGCTTATATTCCATAGATCGGAAAACGGCCATAACCCGTTGGTGTTTTTAACTCCAACATGATGATAACTGGGCAGGTTATGGCCGCGAATTGACGTACCGCCATGATGACGGTTCCTTCAGCGCCTTTGGGAAGTGTCTCGACCGCTGGGAGAGAATGCTGTCATATGCTGTCATAGTTCAGAACTGGGATAATGATAGGGGATAATGATAGGGTATACCATCAAATTTAGCCATTTTGAATATGGAACATTAATATGGGAAAATGATGATCATCCCATTTTGTATCTATTGGAGTGGGGGATAATGTGGGTAAAACAATGCCATTTTCACCACCCATGACTGGGAATGGTAAACATACCAGCTTTAAAAAAACGATGATGACTGGGGGATGGTTTATGAAATTCTTCTACCCACATTAGTAGATGAAGCAACATTTTGATGGTTGTTTTTCAGTTGTTTGGGAAGAAACATTGTAGTTTAACCGAACAAAAAACGATGTTGGTTCAGAAGATCATGTTTTTGTCTTTTGAGTGGCCATGAAATTGAGAGGTTATCCATAGTTTTGGGCAAGCCACACTCAATGTTCCTCTCTTTTTTTCCGGATTGTGATGCCACTGTATTAAGCAAGTCTGTTCACACATGTTTGTCATCCGACATTTGAGGGTGTTGAGTGACTCTTTTATCCATTGTGTGGAGTTGTTTCTCATGTCATCCAAAACCTTGGTGGTGTAAAAGATATGTCCGGGATTGGGTCATAAGAACCCATGCAAGTGCACCCTGGATTGTGTGGATGTTGACATCCGAAGCTTAGACTCCAATGAGTCTTACTGGTGCGAAACGTAGGGAATGGATGGGTTGCTGGGGGTTGCTGGGATTATTATTGATAGTTATTGTGGATCATTCCCTCATTCCCTACGTAAAACGCACCAGTAAGATGGGTGTAGTCCATTGCAACCTCATCTGATTGGTGGTTTGGAACATGAATTTTACTTGGTGGCTCATCCCTAATTACATAGGTATGGGCCTTATATATGCTAGGTATCTTTAATTGAAATGGCCATTGAATCATATTTCCATCATATAAATACCAAGTGAAAAACCAAGAACTGCTTGGTGGTTTGGTGGTTTTGAAGATCTTTGTCCTTTGTAGCAACTTGGCACCTTCCTGTGCTTTTGAAGACGTGGAAGACGTGAAATTCGCAGACACTAAACGTACAGTTCCCGATGGTGGGAAGGTGCCAACAGTGAGCACCACATTGATACTTGGTGGCGAACTACCCACTTAGCAAGTGGGTTATGACCCCAGTTATAAATGGGATAAGTAGGGTTAATCCACTTATAACTGGGGTGAACTAACCCACTTACTAAGTGGGATGAGCCACCAAGTATGAATTTCCATATACTGGGAATTTCATCATCCCAACTGACCAATATGTTTCAGAGGGGTGGGTATACCACCAACCAGCTGTATGCCCTTTGGGCTCTTTGTGGATTCTGGGGGATACAATACGTGGAGCCCCTGGAAAGGCCACGAGTTATCGCGACAAGTTGGGGTTCATAAAACTCCAATTTCACTACAGTTATGGCCATTTATTAGTTATAACTGGTTATAAATGGGATTATACATTCTATAAATAGGGTTATAAGTACTTATAACTGGTATTTCGGCCCTTAACTGTATGGTTTATGGTACGCAAATAGCATCTTATAACTATTGTTACTGGGGGGGTTGGTCAATAATTCTGATAACTATGGTTTATGATGCAAAATTAACTATAGTTACTGGGAATAATAAACCAACAAACATCACTGGGGGGGCCACATTGTATGATTCATCAATTGGGATGTGGCCACCACAGGACAATGATGCCCATGTTGGCCAAGTCAGCCTTGTGTCGGCAGTGTCCTTCACATGTTCACACTGTCTATAAATCTACATTGTTTTATTTACTATTTGGTTTGTCATCTCCACATTCCTAGTTGAGCTGGTTGATAGGTGTCCCTTTTATGGATTAATGATTTAGAAATATTTGTATAATATATATATATAATCACCAATAAACCAATTGATCAGTATGCCCCTTAAAACAACCTATCAACAGCATTCGACGGTGTTTGGAATGGCTCAGAAGCGATGACTCCGGATCTACCTGGCTGACGGCGTTTGTTTTGCGAGTCTTTGTGGAGGTTCAGGCGCTTGTTATGCGCGAAGATGTGGGGAAGATGTGGGAAAGACTTCGATTTGTAAAGCAAGAGTCAGTTTTGTTCATGTTTGAATGGAGATGGGTGACCATAATGTCATACATCCTACTCAAAGTCTTGTTTTGGGCAAAGGATCGACAAGCCAACATCAACAACAAGTTGAAGATACAGAAAGTCGCTGTTTGGTCACCAGCAATGGGGAGGAGACATGTGTGGATCATGCACAAGCATTGACCTGGGAAGTGAATGAAACCTGCATCTCATTAGTGTTTATGATCCATGCTTCTCATATGACAGTGAAGTTTAAACAGTTGTTCCATGTGCCATGGTCGAAACACGGTTTATGTTATATGTTGTTTTGCCATATTGGGGCATTTCATCATTCCATTTGTATAGCTTGCTAATACCCGATGACCACAGACTATACGTATACATCTATATACCATGTTTAAACCCTGGCACATATGTTTCAATTGTATCTTCTTGTATATCATTGCCAGATAATGGAAGTATCACCAAACAAACATGCACTTTTTATTGCGGAGTCATATGTAGACACTGAGTTGGCAGGTTTACACTTGCGAACTTTCAGTGGTAGATGTGGTAGATCAGCTAGCGAATCTGCTCTGGCAGGAGACGGCGTTAGTGGCTGTGGATTCAGGCAGGTTGGGGAGGATCACATGAAAAACCAAGAATGGACATCCCCAACCAACTGCATAGGTACCTTCTGGTTATTTAACATAGCCATGGAAAATCACCATTTGTAATAGGTAAACCATCTATAAATGTGCCATTTTCCATGGCTATGCTAAATAACCAGAGGGTAGAAATTAATCTTTTGTGATCTTTTATGTTTTTTGCTACAGATGGAAAACAACCGGCCGACCAGCTACCAAAGATTGACCCTGTGGAATGGAGGTCGGATTCTTGTTGGGCTTTACCTTGCTGTGCTAGCCATGTTTAGTTTCTTAATGACGACTGGATGATTTGGGCTACCTCCAATTTAGGAAACCTCCGCTTCGTGAAATGCATTGGATCATCATTGGATCACAAAAATTGTGTCGGATTGCGCCTAGTGGTGCAGTAGGACAGTGAGCCAACTGGTGATAGTTCACCACTGTTGTAGGGGCCTCATATCACAACTTATGGAAGCAGATGATACACCTAAAATTTACACCAAGTAGTAGATCACACCTTATATTCTAGGTCAATCTTACATGGATACAAACTAATCCTTGGCCATAGAAATAGTGGATTTGCCCATTGAAAATGGTGATCTTCCATTGGAAATGTATTGTACTTGTGGAAGTTAAAACCCCTAGGTGTATAGTCATGCCAGCATCGCCTCCAAGTAGGTTATATATCCCATTCTACGCCCATATTATCCTAAGCCTATGGCCCGTCCAATTTTTCGCGGGGGATATCCAAAAACCACCTTGGTGTCCCCAAAAATCCTGTTGGTTGTATATTGTTATATTTTCCATTAAACACGATTTAAGTCATTTAAGTCCCTATTGTTGATGGTTTATACTCCCTTGAAATATCGGATTCAATCCCTTCACATCCCAATAAATCCCACTGGAAATCATTCAATGGGAATTCCAGGATACTAAAATGGAGGTACTGTAACATATAAGGCCATATTTTGTGGGGATATCCCCTTACATAGGCCTAAAAAAAAAGGCCTTATACATGCTAGGTACCTCCAATCAATCGGATCCTGAAATGGCCATTGAATCATATTTCCATCATATAAATACCAAGTGAAAAACCAAGAACTGCTTGGTGGTTTGGTGGTTTTGAAGATCTTTGTCCTTTGTAGCAACTTGGCACCTTCCTGTGCTTTTGAAGACGTGGAAGACGTGAAATTCGCAGACACTAAACGTACAGTTCCCGATGGTGGGAAGGTGCCAACAGTGAGCACCACATTGATACTTGGTGGCGAACTACCCACTTAGCAAGTGGGTTATGACCCCAGTTATAAATGGGATAAGTAGGGCTAATCCACTTATAACTGGGGTGAACTAACCCACTTAGTAAGTGGGATGAGCCACCAAGTATCTGGGATGGAGGACCTGCCGAACTGCGAGGGCCTTTTCAACATGAGGAGGTCCGACTTCGCCCGAGGGTCTCTATATGGAGACCCCATATCTCAAGATCCTGTTCAAGGCATCCCCAGCCCAAAATGACTTGACAATGTATATAATATATATATACATATGCATGTATATATACATACATACATACATACAAACATACATACATACATATATATATATATATACACATATATATATATATTGTGAGCAGAATGACCGAATTCCGTCTTTGACCAGCAGTCATGTGTCCGCTTGTTGTGCATAGTTTCCAATAATGTCACTTACGCCACGCTGTACCTCGGTTTTGTTGAACCAAGCATCTAGATCCATTTTCCAGCCATGTTGGGCTAAAAATGGGACGCCTACCCGATGGTGGATGGCCCGTCCCATTCCATCACGCAAGTACGACGACTGGAGTAGATGTATACGTTGGGAAGGCATACTTGGGATAGAAGTAAAGCGACATACTCAGAGGATTGGAGATGTTTAATATTTATACTTGGTGGCTCATCCCACGAATCGTAAGTGGGTTAGTTCACCCCAGTTATAAGTGGATTGACCCTACTTATCCCATTTATAACTGGGGTTATAACCCACTTGCTAAGTAGGATGAGCCACCAAGTATATATATATATTCTACAATGTGGGGCCCCCCAGCCAGTGATGTCAACGTTGGGAAAAATAACCCCCAGTAAGTATATAGTTAATTTTGTACCATAAACCATGGTGAAATTGCAGTTATGTTCACCAACTTAGCTATCGTAAACGGGGGCCCGACTTTGTAGGGGTGCTGAAAAAATGGTGTGAAGGGATTAATTATAGTAGAATTTGAAACAAGTAGATTCCCATGAAATATACCATTTCTGGTTTGTGGTTTGGAACCATGGGATTTTATGACTTTCCATTTAGTTGGGAATTTCCATCCATCCCAACTGGCGAAGTCCATCATTTTTCAGAGGGGTAGGTATACCACCAGACCATATGATATCCATATATATACCATATTAGATTCCCATATAGACCATGTGTGTTTTCCCAATCGGCATGTTTTTCCAGGGATCAGATCCCCAAGATCCACCGGAGGCATTCTGAAGTCGGCGACAGAGTTCCTGATCAGTACCCAGTAGCACGGCAAAGAATGGTCGGTTTTGAAAGGTTGGAATGTTGGCATGGTTTGGGGCTGTCGAAGCATTAATCATTAGTTGTTGATATTTGTTGTTATTGTTTTTTTGTTAATGGTTGAAGGCATTTCCAAAAAGGGATCATTCTGTGGTGAGCTGGCATCTTTATGGTTTATCTGTGCATCCTGAAGTTTAGTGTGGGCCAATAGAAAATGCCAGCAAGAATCGGTACTTAGATGAACTTGCGGATGAACATCCCAACCGTACAAGGGATTTATGGTGGTTTCCTAAAATGGTGGTAACCCAAAATGTATCTTTTATAGTGGAAAATCTTATGAAAATGGATGATTCGGGGGTACCCCCATGTCAGGAAACCTCCATATCCATACGATGGCAATTTTATAGGGTAAAATGATGATTAAGCAGTAGGTTTAGGGATACCCATTTGGAACCCAAAATGCGGTGGTTTAAAAGAACAATTTCTCCATGTTCTACTAGCATTCAACCTGATTTTCCCAAGTATCCAATGGCCATAAGTGATGTTATCCTCTGAAAATACACATGCTTGGCTGAACAAGCGTCAGTTGTAGATGCAGATGTTCGTTTCCCAGTGATTTTTACACCAGAATCACAGTTAGGTGGGACTTTCCAGCTTGCCATCCTTGATTCAATGGCCATTTCAGGAACCTAAATTGGAGGTACCGATTCCATATATAAGGCCTATTTTTTAGGCCTATGTAAGGGAGTATCCCTGCAAAATATGGCCAAAAATTTTGTACCAACGTACCTCCAATATAGGATCCTGAAATTACCATTGATTGATTAGGAGGTCATCAGCTAGATGAGCTAGCTCTTTATCCCATTTCTTGGAGGCTCACCCAGCCAGGAAAGCGGATGGCTCCTTTCGACGAGTAGGTCAGGTCATTCACCAGGTGAACAAGGGATGGCCGGTGGAGCGCTGGATGGCATGTTGATATCCTGCTTAGTTAGGGGCCGGGCCCCCCATAACTGCTATGAAGTGGTTAGAAACCATAGGAAAATGGATAGAAAACCAAGAGAAAGTGGCATTCAATGGTTTTTTTTTCGCTGATTGTTGATAGCTAAGTTGGCGAATAACTCCAATTTCACTACGGTTTATGGTACAAAGATAACTACAGTTGCTGGGATTTATGAACCAACAAACCTCACTGGGGATTAAGCGATCGAATCGCTGGGCTCAGCTAAGGGTGGTGCTACATTTTCATAGTGCCTACAAAGTGGGGCCCCCTTAAACGAAATCGCTAAGTTGGTGCAAATAACTCCAATAACTATAGTTTATGGTACTTATAACTACAGTTATTGAGGCTTATAAACCAACTTATAACTAGGGGGCCCGACATTGTATGGAGCATCACTTTTTCCATTTGAGCTTGCACTTTGCCGATGGGGGTTAAGCCATGAGTGAGACCCTTCCTTTTACTTCTTGTAGATGTCAAATCGCGAGTTGTCATCAAACCTTGTTTTGGGATGAAAAGATAACTGCTTCGTAGCTTGAATTTCTTCCTGAGTTTGTTCAACCTCTCATACTTTGCCCGTACTCTATCCTAAGTTTGGTCAAAACCACCAGGTAGCCGATTCCATCTTCACCAAAAAGAAGGTTGGCATTGTTATCAACCTGTAGTATCAACCTCTCATGAAATGATTCTCCTGTTGGGTAAACTACACTTCAACTCATCAGATAAATCTCTTGTAGTAATACTGGTGGTATACTGGTGGTATTCAACTATATTCAACTTGCATTGCTCCAGTTGTCCACTTTAAGTATCATAAGTCCAGTCGAGTTCACCTTTCAACCAGATGTGCCAGGCTGTCACCCCATAGGGTTATAACCACAGTTATAAATGGGATAAGGAGCGGGTTAATCCACTCAAAAAATTGGGGTGAACTAAGTCTAACCCACTTACGAGCCGTGAGATGAGCCACCAAGTAGGGATGTATATACATAAGATTACCCTAAGATTTTTTAGATCTATGGATATTTGGATGATATGTTTTGCATATAAATCATTTTTGTAAACTTGGCTAATCCCAATTTTCGGTGATAATAGTTTAAGATTACTATCATGTTCCCATAGCCCAAGTATCATGCCTTTGACCATTCACAGGTTTTTTGTTTTTGAACTGTAGAATCAAATATGAAATCCACACTTGCTGATGGGAAATCCTAATGAGTCTTTGTAAAAATCGGAGGCAATGCCTTACTTGGAGGATCATCCCACTTAGTACAGGATAGTGCCCCCAGTGATGTGAACGTTGGTTTATAGACCCCATTAACTATAGTTATATCTGTCATAAACCGTAATTAAGCCACTTTTTTTAGGCAACCAAACGCTATCTTTGGGCCCCATCCTGTAAGTTTTTTTAATAGCCGCGGTCACAGAGTCCCCTTTGTTTTTTCACAACAGTTACTAACCACTTACCAAATGGGATGATCCTCCAAACAAAGCACCGTTCTAATAGTTTTCCCATACAAGGTGGTGCCCCAGTTCGTTAGCTAAGTTGGGGTTCACATAACTCTCATTAAACTATAACTATGGTTTATGGCAGATAGAACTATAGTTAATGGGGCTTATAAACCAACTTATAACTGGGGGGCACCATCCTGTAACCATCCGATCAATTCTCCATGTGTTGTGGATTATTAAGGTACTTCTGAGTTGCAACAGCTATTTATCCAACATTAACATCAACCACTACATTAAATAATTTTGGCCGATGATATTCCCATTAAACACTTTTAAATCACCATATAATCACTATGAATCACCATGCTCCGCTTTTTTTTGTGCGGATCCATGGGTGCCAACAGGAGATGTTGGGCGGTGCCAGCGGTTCAGATCTGGCACTCAGCGCCTATGTGACGTCAGCCTTGGCGAAGGCTTGGAAAGGGAGAACTTCCAGGCTGGAAATGATGGATCATATATTATGTATACTACTTATATGTAGCATATATATATAGATATATATATATATATAGATATATATATATATATCCCATATATATACATATATATACATATGTAATGTAATTATATATATATAAAACGTTATATAGAATTATACGACGGCCAGGACGGGGGTGCTGCCAGGGGCAGTGAATTTTAAAGTGTTTTTTGCATGTTGGCTCATTTTCGGATGTCGGCCAAATGGTCTACTGGCTGACGAGATTTGTTTCAAAAACACAAAACTCTCAACCCAAAACCCTAAAACCTAAAGCTGACATCACACCCCAAGTAAACCTTGAAAGTAAAATCTTTTGCAAACTGTGGTAAAAACTGAAAAACCGTAAATAATAGACCCTAAACAAACCCTAAAGAGTTGGTCACATGATAAACCTTTGGGCGGCATCCCCGGCCTGCGGGTAATTATATGTACATAGTAGATACACAGTAATATATATATATATGTATAATATATACATAGTACATGTATACATACATACATACATACATACATACATACATGCATACATGCATACATATATACATACATACATACATACATATATACATACATACATACATACATATATACATATATACATACATACATACATACATACATACATATATACATACATACATACATACATATATACATACATACATACATACATGCATACGTATATACATACATACATACATACATACATATATACATACATACATACATGCATACATACATACATACATACATATATACATATATACATACATGCATACATACATACATACATACATATATACATACATACATACATACATACATATATACATATATACATATATACATATACATATATACATATATACATATATACACATACATACACATACATACACATACATACATACATACATACATACATATATTGATTGTACTCCTGTATGGGTCCAAAGTTAAAGCGCGGGGAATTGCTGATCTTGGTCCTTGCCGATGAACTCATCCCATTTTTGGGTATCATTTGTGCTGAAAGCTGGGTACCCAGCGAATGTGATTGAATCTTTCTTTGGGGAAGTCAGGGGGGATGAGAAAAGAGACACCCAGCTCAAAACTGCGTTTCTTGAAGGGTGCGGTAGTGATCTAATGATCTAGGAGTAGCCATGTGTGATTCGTGGCAGAAACTCACAACTTTGAAGACCAACTTCGTCTATAAATCGGGTGCAGGTTAGACTACGGGAGGGAAAAGGAAAATTTGGTGATCCAGAAACTCACTTGTACCCAATGAGCAATGTGAAAAAAAAGCCTGTTGTTGATGGGAGTTTTTTCTAAGCAAAATATTTGGGAAATTCAGAATCCATTGGGGGAATCCCTTCCAATCAGAGGACCAAAGGGACGACAGAGGGTTCTGAACAATGCTCAATTGTTCCCCAAACACTGTGTCCACGGTACGTGTAAAGGCCGGTGCTTGATCAGGGTGCTCCAGCTGGGCTCCGGCATTTTTCCTGTAAATTTCTGTATAAAAAGGTTCTTGTGACATGTTGACGTGCATGTCGACTGCGCAGGCTCACACAAAGTGTGGTCCTAGGTGTTGTGGCCCGTCATTTGTCTTGTAAATGTCCGATTAAAATGGCTCTTGTGAGATTTCCAAGTGCATTTTGACTGGACGGGCTCGCACTAAGTGTGGTTCCCGGTCTTGGGATCGGACCACCTCCTCAACATCATCATGCTAAACATCATCATTTCCCTCCTTCTCAACATCATCATCATCTTCCTCCCCCTTGACCTCATCATCCTCAACATCATCAACCTCCACCTCATTTTCCGCAACACCATTATATCATCCTTCTCATCACCCTCCTCAACATTATCATCCATTACATCAGCATCACCATGATCATGATCATGATCATCATCATCATCCTCATCCTCATCACCACCACCACCACCATCATCATCATCATCATCAAGATCGTCATCATCATCCTTCTCAACATTATCGTCTTCCTTTGCGACCTTGACCTCATCATCCTCAACATCGTCAACCTCCACGTCACTTTCTGCAACATTAACCTTATCATCCTTTTCATCCTCCTCCTCAACATGATCATCCTCAAGATCATCGTCATCATCAACATCATCATCATCATCACCATCATCATCACTATCATCATCATCATCATTATCCTCCTTCTAATTATCGTGATTCTCCACCTTATCATCCTCAACTTCCTCTTCCTCATTATCATCCTCGTCCCCATCCTCCTCATCAACATCATCCTCAACGTCATCAACCTCAACATCATTATCCTCTATAGTACATCATTGTCCGCAACATTATCATCCTCTTCCTCATCATCATCATCACCATCATCATCATCATCATTAACAACATTATCATACATTGTCAGACATTCTCCTCCTACTCCCCCACCCTGTTTGGGGTCTCTCGCTGGGATAATTTTTGCAATAAAACCTTTGAACCATAGAGGCTTGTGTGCCCCCCGCGATGAAAACTTTTAAAACTTGTTGATCCGTGCATGTTTTGCTTAGCCTGAATGTGCCAGCGTGAGAGCGATAGGGTTCTCCAAGACTTCCAAAGTGCAACACACCAATTTTTGGTGTCACCAGGGCCGCTTCCCAAACGCACGGATATCGAATCCGTGAATTTACTGGTGAGGGACGAGGCAGCGAGCGATCCACCATCTGCTTTTGAAGACCGGATACGACGGCCGGCGGCAGCAGGGAATTGTTCCGCCATGAGCTAAGCAGCCAAGCACGCCCGCAAATCCTTCACATCTAGCCAAATCATATCAACTTCACTGGCTATATCCCTATCACATATCTAATCTAATCACATCTCATCTCATATTTCCCAGTGTATATTCCCATGTAGTTTTTTTAATCCTCATATCACCCCTATATAGATTCATGGATATACGGTATGTCTCTACCTAGACTCTCCAAGTAGCCTGAAAATGATGTCTTACCCCATAATTTTAGTACCATTTTTGGGGGTGTTTGGAAAGTCTGGGTATACATATAATTATATATATATCTCTCTCTACATAATATATATATATACATTCCACATAATGTTTTTGAACGTGTGTATATATTATATATATAATTATCCATCCTTTTTCGCCCGTTTTTGGGCAGCTGTATCACACCTGCCAGAGGCGCAGTCCTCGCTTTCCCTCAGCACTTTGGCACCAGCGCTGGCGAAGGCCAAAACGTATCTGGAAGCGCAGAGCTCCAGCGATACCTATGTGGCACGGGGGCCTGGTGGTTGGGAGATTTTTCAGTTGAGCAGTGGCTGCGAGACACGATTTACCCAATTTACCCCTGTTGGTTGACGATCAGTTCGGGGATTAAAGTAACCAGTATGTTTTGGGGATGGTTATCATCCAGTATGGAAAGTTCTTTTGGCCAAGCAGTATAAAGTTACGACACAGGTTTTTGAACAGTGCTCAGTTGAGACTGAGAAAAAAAAACAGTTGAATTGTTGAATCATTTTGAATTACCCTCCGGTAAACTAACACAACTATGGAAAATCACCATGGTTTATGGGTAAATCCACTATAAATGGCCATTTTCAATAGCTATGTAAACGTTTGCCAGAGGGTAGTTGGCTATAGAACGTGTCAAGTGGAATTAGTTTGCCATGGCAGATCATCATAGAGATTCAACCCACCGGTGACACCCTCCGAGAAGAAGGTATAGAAAGGTTCATTGGACCATTTTGAAGAAGATTTCATGGAACAATGGAGACAATTGAATCCCAGTGTTTTTGGGATTCAACTACATTTTGGTGTTCCATTGAACATTCCATATGGTTCTCAAATTTCAATGGAACATTTCATGGGGATTCAACTACCAAAATTCTCGGAGATGTTTCTTGAACCACCGACAAGCAGGTTTATTGTATAAGGTCTATCCAAATCATTTGTCAATGGTGTTACCCTCTGGTAAACTAACATAGCTATGGAAAATCACCATTTTTAATGGGTATATCCACGATAAATGGCCATTTTCAATAGCTATGTTAGTTTACCAGAGGGTATTTTTCTGATCCAAAGCTAGGTGTTCAATTCTGAAAATGTAGGACCATCATCTCTGGCGGTCCACGGCTTGGAATACCGCACGGTAGTTGAACTGGTTCAGGCCTTACTTCGTGCTCATGCCCTGGTTCTGGCAGGAGCGTCAGCAGTGTTTGGTCGAGCTGCTTGCTTGTCATTTGCCATGTTGGTGCCCTGCTTTGGCCTGGGTTTGCTCAAGCTAATATGTCTGTTCAATGAAAAACCCATCATTGGAAATTTGCTGAAATGATGTTTTCCCTTTTCGGTGGCCATCTCAAGTAAATCCAGGTTGCTTAAGATGTGGTAAACCCATTGCCATAAACCTCCCATGCGCAAAGGAAAATCTACGACCCATTTCTGCTATGGGGCTGCTATGGGGTTCGTTGGGTGCGTTGGGTTCACCAGATTAGTCCACCAGGCTGACATGTGTAGAGGTACTGGGTGGTGGTTTGGAACATTGGTTTAGTATGGGGTAATGATGGTTAATGATGGTTAATAATGGTTAATAATCACTGGCTGGTGGTTTGGAACCATGGAATTTGTTTTATCAATTTCCATTTAGTTGGGAATAATCATTCCAACTGACTTTCACTCCATCATTTTTCAGAGGGGTAGGTATACCACCAACCAGAGTAAGATTTTGAAGGATACACATGTAGAATTTCTTGTTGCAAGAATTGCCAGTGTTGTTGTGTGTCCATGGTGAATGGTTGACAAACAGTTGCTACCTTCTGGGCTAATCAAAACTATCACAATTCCCCCAATCAACCTCATCAGAAGTGATGGCGGGGATGGAAAGAATCTTCAACACATGCCCTTTTCCTCTACGAGTATATGATGATGGGCCGGAGCAAATGCGACCTGTCTGTCTGGCATGAAACAAGCAGATAAACACGGATTCATTGAGACGAATTTCTAGATTTTCTAGTCTCAGGAAATTTGGGAAATTGTTTCAGTAGATTTTCTAGATTTTCTAGTTGAATTTTGCACTAATTTCTAGTCTCAGGCAATGTTCCAACACTAAAGTCACGTCTAAAGTGCGATGTTGACTTGGCCACCAACTTCCGATCACCAACCAACACAGGTGGCTTTCTATGGGGCTCAGATCATTGAAATTCATGGCGGCTGGGTCCTGCCGAACATGGGGATGAAAGCCACCAAAATTGTGGACGCCCAACAACCCGCAATTTTGATCGTTGAAAGCTAAATACGCTCGGTTCAGACCCACATCTCTAGGTCAATCTTACATGGATACTTTAATCTTTTAGTCTTTTGGTATTAATGGGAATATCTACTAGCCAGCAAAGAATTTAATTTTTGCAGGGTATCTAAGATTGGCAATGATCTTGGGCAAACGTGTGGGTTGCTACAAAATGTTTGGCTGCTATAATCCCGATTGAAATCGCAATTAAATCCCATGAAATCCAATTTTTAACCACCGCAAGACCATTAGATCACCAGGAAATCACCATTAAATCAAATTAATTACATCACCATTAAACCAACATGTTAATACATGTTACCACAGAAATCCATCCATTGAATAGTGCTGCAAGATGTTGGATCGCCGCCAGGACTTTGGGATAAGGATCAAGTGGCAACTGAGGCGGCTGTGATCCGAGCGCCAGAATCAGATTGGAGATGTTGATGCGGATTGAACTATCAAATCAAATATGTGTTGTTAAAACTAGGTCAATCTTAGATGGATACCTACTAATCCTTTAGTCTGTTGGTATTCATGGGAATATCTACTAACCAGTCTGGTGGTGCCCCAGTTCGTTAGCTAAGTTGGTGAACATAACTCCCATTAAACTATGGTTTATGGCAGATATAACGAACTAGTTAATGGGGGGTATAAACCAACTTATAACTGGGGGGCACCATCCTGTATGTGTTGTTAAAATATGTGTTATCAAATACGCTCACATTAATCCATTAGAATTAGGGGTATATTTCAAACCAAATATCAATGATATAAGTTATAACACTGGAATATACTAGGAACATAATGGTGAGATTCAATAACCCATAGGATCCATGGTGCTATATATGGTAACATGGATCCCATCAATATACCCCCTTTGTGTTAGCATATATACCAGCACCATGGATCCCTATGGGTATATACCACTTAAGGAGTAGATGTATCTGGGTAAATTATAACGACCTCACTACGACCTCACTGGAATCATGGTTAATAAGGGGAAGCATCCCCAAATGGCCTTAATTCAGGTTAGTGAATTATTTTAATTTACCCAGAAATATGTGTTGTGAAAATTTGCGTTGGCAACTACCCTCTGGTAAACTCACATAACTATGGAAAATCATCATGCTATTAATGGGTAAATCAAGTATAAATCGCAATTTTCAATAGCTATGTTAAATTACCAGAGGGTATATTATATGGATAACAAAGAATGTTGGCCCTTGAAATATGTGTTTATCAAACCTTGAATTTTAAACATTGAATGTGTGGTGTTTAGCCAACAGACATGCGGATGTCACGTTTTAACACTGCTCAAGTGCTTTGCCTCATGTATCTGGGTAAATTAGGGTAAATTATAACGACCTCACTGCGACCTCACTATAATCATAGTTAGTAGGGGAAATGATCCTTTGATTGTGTCCTTAGTTACAGGTTTGGGGTGGCTATGGAGAGTTGTCAGGGGCTGTTTCAAAGGAAGAGCGCAAAGAAGAGCGCGGCTTCACCCCTTCTCCTGGGGGAAAGCCGATTTTAACGGGGTATGATTTTCCACTTAGACTTTCCTGCAGATAACAGAGCCCAAGTCGGTTGATCAATGTTGATCCTGATTGGCTGGCATATTAAACCCAAGAATAATCCATCCCCAATTTTAGCAGACATGGCTTGTTTGAACCCTCCGAAATTCGAAGGTTATGATTTGGTTTCCAACATTACTACTTTTGGAACAGAAACACGTTACTGACCCCAAAAAAACACCACAAAAGAGTGACGGAAACTTCCGGCTTTGGGAAAGTTAAAACCGCAACCAGGTGGATGTGAAAATGAGATCTACCACATGAAATTGCTATTTCAAAAGCCACTCGATTTATTTTGGTGGTTTTTCCATAGGGTTTTCCATGGTTTTCCCGTCCATTTTCTCAGCCCCATCCAGTGGCGCCATGAGAGGTGCTGTCCAAATCCTCCACCACTGGCCTTTACCGTTATTGGTCGCACTCATCCAATGCAGGTGCAGAAAATGGCGCTGTGGCCATGGGCACAAAACGGATTTTTTTCGCCAACGATTCATAGGGGTGAAATACGGTTAGATGGTTTCTATTCTCTAGGCTGATGTTGGTACATCTGAGAGGTCGATGGAAGTAAGAGAGTAAGATTTTTTCATGTTCCTACATAACCTGGTTGGTGGTTTGGAACATGGCTTTTATTTTCCATAATATGTGGGATAATCCTTCCCATTGACTTTCATATTTTTCAAGATGGGTTCAAACTACCAACCAGATATGATATTGATAATGATCAAAAAAATGATATGTTCACCACCAATGTAATCCGGAGATGAATGGGATATAAATGTATTGTATAACAGTCAACTAAACCAGATAACTGTGCACTGATTTTTTGAGGTGTTTTGGTACATCTGTGAAGATGGAGACGGAAGACGTTGGGGTCTGGGGGATAGGTTGATGGAAGTCAGATGGTTAGGAGGGAGCTCAGAAGCCATTGGCTATCCATATAGGGCTTTCTATAAATGGGGTATACCCAAAAATGCATGGATTATAAGGGAAAATCCTAAAATGGATGATTTAGGGGTACCCCCATTTTAGGAAACCTCCATATTCCCTTTTAAACTAGGAGCGAAGGAGCTACTAGGAGTCTCCCAACCAGATGATAGTAACACACAATAACTTGGTGGAAGGGCACCGCAACGGAAAAGTAGAATAAAATGGCGCCTTTCTAACGTCCACTACTTACAGTATAGGTTTATCCCAGTATACACCAAAATGGCAATCTTAGTGGGAAAAATGATAATCATTGGAATTACCCACTTGAGACAAATACCGCTGTTGGATATGTCAAATCTGGTTTCATGTTCAAACCTACCTAGAATGATGATCCACAATGACTACTGTAGTGTTTTCCAGCTGGGTTGACGCAAACAACCGCTGTATTATAGCTGTTGGTGCGGGTTACATCAAGTTGTGTTGATCTTCCAAAAAAAGATACCATCTGGTTATTTAACATAGCTATGGAAAATCACCAGTTTCAAGTTCGGTAAACCATCTATGTCTATGGGCCATCTATACCATGGCAAACTGTTAAATAACCAGAGGGTAACATTCGAATCTGCCGAAAGCCGCGGGTTTGCAGGATGCAAAAGAGCGCCTTTTTTGTACAGCGCTGTTTCCAGGTTTCCCACCGATCCACTTATTTTGGTGGTTGCTACTTGGTGGTGAACTACCCACGAATCGTGGTTGCTCGTGGGTTATTTCACCCCAGTGATTGACATGGGATTTTTGGAGCGGGTTAATCCACTGATAATTGGGGTGAACTAACCCACGAGCCCACGATTCGTGGGTAGTTCGCCATCAAGTAGGCTTGTCATGTGTTTGGGAATTACCATCTGGTTATGACTCACAGTTCGCCATGGAAAATCCACCCATTTTTAAGTTATAGGTAAACCATCTATAATTTTGCCATTTTCCATGGCAAACTGTTAAATAACCAGACGGTAACTTTTCTAATCTGGTTGGTGGTTTGGAACATAACTATGGAACATCCACCCATTTTTAAGTTTGGTAAAACATCTATTTCTATGGTCCATCTATACCATAGCTAACTGTTAGTCATTACCAGAGGGTAAAACTAAAAAGCAGGATGATCATTGCATGACGCAGCCGGGTATCTCCAGGTGACGGAAAGGCCTTGGATATCGAGCTGCTTGGTTCCAGCTGGATGTGCGTTTGATCAGCGTTAAGTGAATATATTTGGTTGGTGGTTTGGAACATGTTTTATGACTTTCCATATATTGGAAATAATATTCCCAACTGACTAATATTTTTCAGAGGGGTAGGTATACCACCAACCAGATTTAGTCATTGGGATAGTGGAAGGTAACCATCCATTAATAGATAGATAGTAAGCATTCACTGTGGTTGTTGGTAGTTGATAAGCCCTCAATCAAGCATGGTTTGCAAATCCACAATTTTTGCCGATGATTTTACCATGCCCATTTATCATGGATTTCCCAGTGCAACGTTCGATTGCCTCAGGGTCTACAGAAATTGTCACAAATTCATCTGCACTTTTGCGTGCACTTTGAATGGATATTATATTCCATGTTCTCATATTTTCCCACGATTTCTCCCCTTGTACTGTACACAGTTGTGAAATCAGATGGTGATGGGATATAACGGGACAAGAATCCCAGTCGTGGCGGATATGCTCTGGCACCAAGCCCAGTCATGGCGGGCGAGGACATACATGGGAAAGCTGGGTGGCGGACACAGCTGTCTTGTGTTGTTTTGTCTTCCAAAGTCTCGCATTGCCGAAGCATTCGATGCCGCCGGATCGACGACATGTCGCATGCGAGACCATGAGACACGCTGACGGTGGCTTCTCTGTCATTGCGAGCTATTCATTCAGCAGTTCCGGAAGAGATTTATTCTTTCGAAGCCTGGCGCCTGATGGATCTTCCATGTTAGCTTTCGGTTTAAGTGGGTTCATGTTCACCCACCCAGCTATATCCACCATAAACCAACTCGGTTGTGGAGCATCACACAGTACATTAGTCTAGTATATAACCGGCACACACAGATTTACAATGATTTATGTGTATATATATATATATCATGTGCACATACATACATACATACATACATACATACATACATACATACATACATGCAATACATACAATACAATACAATACAATACAATACAATCAAATACAATACAATACAAATGCAATACAATACAAATACAATACAAAACAAATACAATACAATACAATACAACACAATACAACACAACACAATACAAATACCAATACAATACAATACCAATACCAATACCAATACCAATACCAATACCAATACAATACAATACAATACAATCATACATACATACATACATACACACCTACGTACATACATACATACATACATACATAGATACATAGATGCATAAATACATACATGCATACATGCATACATGCATACATACAAAGATACATAGATACGTAGAATATCATAGAATTACCTGTAGCAACCCCCCAAATAGGAACGTAATTTGACACTTTTTGGGATTGGATATCACTGATATCACTTGTCCATCTTTCTCGGGGTTGCCTTAGTGGTACATCCCTTGTAGATGGAAATATATCAGGATAAACAACCATCATATGATTCAATGGCTCTCTGGACAACGTGGCTGAAAAGTTCCAACTATTCATGGGAAAGTAGAATATATCTGGGTAAATTATAACGACCTCACTGTTCTCCCTCACTGGAATCATGTTTAGGATTCGGGGAATCATCCCCAAATGGCCTTATTATTCAGGTTAGTGAAAAATTATAATTTAACCAGATATATGTATATATAATATATTCCCAGAATTGGTTGGAAAAATCTGCAGGTTTCAGCCACATATGGTGCTAATAAACCCACTGTTTCAAGTATGAAGATATTCCTCAGCAAACCTTATGATCAAGCATACCACTAATCAATATGTTTTCTATAGTTAACTACCCATTTTCCACGGTTCACCCCAGCTATCCATGGATATACCCCATATCCATTCATCATCCTTCACCATTGAACCACCGCTTAACCACCATTTAATCGCCATTGTTGCCTACTAGTTAACCAATGATTAGCTATGTCCATCGCATATCCAAGCAGGTTCAACCCCTCAAAATACAGGTAGTGGACCATATACAGCCTGAAAGTTGGGCGCATATCCCCTGAAAATTTGCCTTTACATATAGGCCTTACATATGGGGGGACCTTTAATTCAGGTACCTGAAATGAAACACGGAATTCTCCCAGGTCAGTTATTTAAGTGCGTCAATTTGTCACGATTTCGTAGAAATGACCCTGGTAAGTTGAATAATCTATAAATCCAAAACCAGATGGTATTAATAAACCTATAGTCAATGGGAATTCCAGGATCCTAAAATAGAGGTGCTGTACCATATAAGGCCATTTTTGGGGGGGTAGATCCCCTTACATAGGCCTTGCATAGGCCTTATATATAATAGGTACCTCCAATTTAGGTTTCTGAAATGGCCATTGATATAGTTATAGAATCTTTTAAAAGATATTGGATGTTTATAGATTATTTATTATACGATAGAATATCAGATGTCAATAGATATCAGGTATTTATTTTACCATCTAATATCCAAAATCTAGTCTAGAATCCCTAATCTAGATACTGTAAGCCCTTTTTTCTATTAATAAGCCAGCATAATCTACATGTTTCCATGAATCCAAGCAAGTTATAGACCACAAAGCACTTCACCGAGGATGACAGGCTACGGCCTACTGGCGCTGACCCTCGCAGATCGATTGGGTGAAGCCTTTCAGGCGGTACGGTGGCTTTTGGAGAGGCGACCGCGACCGGGATGGGATGGGCTTCAGCGGTTGAAACAGATTGGTTTACTGGATCCCTTCAAAGTGGGGCCACCGGTCGATAGCTAAGTTTGTTTATAACTCTAATTTCACGTTTGGACTTATGGTAGATATATCGAACTAGTTAGTGGGATTATAAACCAACTTATAACTGGGGAGGCACCACCTTGTGCAAAGTGGGGTCCCCGGAAACGGCCACGAGTTATTGCGACAAGTTGGGGTTCACATAGCTCCAATATGCTCCAATTTCACTGGTCTATGGTACCTATAGCTACATTTACTAGGGGCCACATTGTGGGTTCAGTCGTTGTGACATAGACATATTGTATAGGATATATATCCACTGGGAAACTGGAATTGTATAATAGACATATTATTATTATATATATATACTAGGATTAACCACGACTGGCGATCATCCATGAACCACCATTTTATTGGCAATGTTGATCACCAAATGGTGGTTTAATGGAGATAGAATAGAGTATTAATGGTTTATCTAGTGGGTGTTAGTAATTAATAGGAGGTTTTGCCATCAACAAATAGGGGTCTAACGGGATTATTTCTGAAACATAATTCGGATTTAACTGCCAAAAATTACCCTCGGGTAATTTTATGGTAATTTAACTCACAAGAATAGTGGTTTAATGGTGATATACTTTACTGGAATATTCATGGGACATATTGACGGGTTTGTACTTACCCTCTGGTAAACTAACATAGCGAAGTGGAAAATCACCATTTGTAATGGGAAAATCAACTATAAATCTATGGCCATGGCTTCAAGTTCGCGAACTGTTAGTCATTACCAGAGGGTAACATGCTTAGTAGCTGGGGTCAGTTCACCCACAAGTGGAATCACCCATCGGGGACAAAAACAAACCCGGGTCCTCCAAGTGATCCAATAACTGCGTCCCCTCTGTGATCAAGCGTGGCTGGCTAGGAAATCCTGTATAAATGGAGGTCTTAGTAGGGGAGATCTTCTATAAATGGTGGATTTTCACAATAACATGTAACTAACAATTGCGTACTCTCCATTAAACTAACTTAGATTTCGAAAATTTGAAAAGTGGCCCATATTCATCTTTTCACAGATGTCAAAAATGACGGGTCTATGTCTATACTGTATAGGTAAGATTTCCCCCCAGTTATAAGTTGGTTTGTACACCCCATTAGGTCGATATATCTGTCATAGACCATCGAATTCACCTAGCTGTAGAGTAATTTAGCTTTCTAGGGGAGCCCACCTTGTAATGGTTGCGAGGATACGATGGGGATGGCCATGATTATTGGTTGATGAGTGGTTTTGGCAAATCGGAGATGGCTATTCTACTTCGAAAGCGTGGATACTGTGAAGCATGTTCTCTTCAGAGGGGAGTCTTTGATGTTCGATGATATATGGCTCACCGAGTACGAAATGAACGACGGGAAGGCATTTCTGGATCCCACTTTGTGATAGGGCTGTGAGGTCCCATGCAAGGAGACTGGCCACTTGTAGACGCTCGGAGCAGCGCGTGGATGGGCACGGATGGTACCTTGATGAACTTTGACTCATAGCTATGGGCTATGTGGGTCTGTCTGAAAATGGTGTATACCCCCAAAAAGGTACTTGGTGGCTCATCCCACTTAGTAAGTGGGTTGTAACCCCAGGTATAAATGGGATAAGTAGGTTAATCCACTTATAATTGGGGTTATAACCCACTTACGATTCGTGGGATGAACCACCAAGTACTTTTAATAGGGGAAATGATGATTAACCAATGGATTTGGAGGTACCATATTTTCAGACAAAGCCATGTTTTCTTCAACTTCTTCACCTTGATCTCATGATTTTTCTCCCCGGGAGCCCGTTCAAGACGAGGCCGATTGTTCCAAGGGAAACCTCGAGCTCCTGCATCCCATAAATTTTACATACCGGGTTAGTGCTGGTTTTTGATGGTTTATCACCAATAACAATCAAGTTTAAAAATCATAACTTGATATTATCGCATGCCACAAATTGCGGAGATATGATACAAGAAACCAATTGAAATCGCACAACAAAAACTGGGCATACAACTACTTGGATGTTCCCTGACTAAGTTATACTAGTAGCATGCCTCATGTGGCAGCTGTGGTCTAACCTACAAGGTCCGACTTATAACGGGGTTCCGTATGATGATGTCACATATAATTATGCTTCACTTGCCATCCACCTGATCAAGGAGCGTCCAAATAGAAAAAAATGTTCAGCCCCAAGGACTGGGACAACTAAATCTGGCAATGTGTCCCTTAAAAATGTCGATACCCTCCAGTGTCATCAAACATGGTTTGCTAGAAAATCCACCATTTGTTGTTGTTTTTTCCCCATTAAGACCTCTATTTATAGGGGACTCGCAAAGTTTGATTACCAGAGCGTATATCCAAGGAACAGTGATCTGCTTAGTGGTTTGAAAGATGTATTTTTTTCCGTCCTACCGCGGATGATGACCCCAGCTGACGACCATATTTGTGAGGAGAATTAAGCCACCAAACACTATACGATGAACGGGGACCTTCTCACTATGGATAGTAAAAACATGTGAAAAGTTTTTTCTTGTCCACAAGGTGAGACCCCTAGGTAAGTTGTTTCATAAGTTGGTGAGTTAACTCTGGTTCAGGGGAAACATTCGATATAACGAACCGCAAAAAGCACCTGGGGGTCGTCACCTCCAAGGCTCCAAGGACTCGGATCATGGTCCGCCGTAATTTTCCAGGGACGTCTTAAGCCATAGATTGGATGATTGGTTGGCAGTGATGGAATAGAATGGATGGTTTAATATTGATTAATAATGGTTAATCATTGATGAATGATAGTGGTTAGTGATGGTTAATAACTATTAATGAAGAATAATGGTTCCCTGATTGGTGGTTTGGAACATGGCTTTTATTTTCCATTTCATATATGGGATGCCATCCTTCCCATTGACGAACTCCATCATTTTTCAAGATGGTTAAAACCGTTAAAACCACCAACCAGATCCATATGGAACAATTATGGATTTTGACCTTTGGCCCATAGTCACAATAAGACTTTCTGTGTTATCAGCATGGGACCCGACAGTTCAGCCGCGAAATAGCAGTTATTTCTATGCTTATGTCTTGTTATTTCTATGGAATTGTAAGTCTTTTTGAGATTCAACCCATCTTTTTGTAATAATCAGCCCATATGAATCAATCCCAAAGATTGTAATTGGGGGCTTAAATGGAATCGGAACTCCATAAGGGGGTTATTTCACTGACTTACACCTGCTTTCCCACAAAAAGCCCGCAGGCGCACAGCCGCAGGAGGCTTCAGCTCCACACAGGAGCCCAATGTTGATCCCCAAGCGAAGAACAGCCTGATGGGTTTTTCTACGGGAATTCTACTGAGTTTACTGGGGCTATCTGGGGTTCTCTCTGTAACTTATAATGTTGGTAAAACATGGTAAAAGAATAATAAGCCATCCCCGGATCCATCATAAGGTGAACCATCATGGATGGTTTATGACCGTTTCAACCACATTTTTTGGGGGAACACATACTTGGTGGCTCATCCCACTAATCGTAAGTGGGTTATAACCCCAGTTACAAATGGGATAAGTAGGATTAATCCACTTATAATTGGGGTTATAACCCACTTACGATTCGGGGGATGAGCCACCAAGTAGGAATATTTACGAACCAACCAGTGTCATGTGTTGTTTTTTTACGAACCAACCATCTTATCCTTTGACACGGCTATTTCGCCGGTCTTGGGCAACCTAGATCAGCGTTCAGAGACATGGGCTAAGCTACAGGAGGCCTACCTCTCCGGCTTTGTGGCGGCGACCATTTCGGGTCATCCCTGCGAGACTTTTTCGTCAGCGCGATGGACCGAACCACCTCCTGAACTACAACATCACCGATGGCCCCGCCCTCTCCGAACGGCCATGCAGCTCTTCGGACTTGACCACCGGAAGATGCGGGAGCTCAAGCAGACGCGTGCGGGCAGCGCCTTTTATCTCCAGACTATCTGGACACTTGCGTGCCATTTGGTTTTTGGCGGAATCTACATTGAGGAACACCCAGGAACACCGAGACAGCCACATCATCCATCTATCTGGAGAAGCGCGATCATGAACATTTTCCGTAGGCATCCGGATGTGCGTCTTCATGAAGTTGCGCAGTGGCGCTTTGGTGCAGCTTCTGTTAAGCCGACAGGCTTACTGACCCTGAGGATGCCTCATTTCATTGGCGATCTGTTCTCGCATGCTGACCCTGATGCTGTGAGGCCCGTGACTGCTGCTATAGGGGTTGACGAAGCAGGACAGTTTCGTACTGCCGTCCACAAGGAATACCCATCTAGGCTGTCCGCTGGTCTTGCACAGGCCATTGCGGCGCAACTCTTGCGCAACCATCGCGCTAGGTTGACCCGCCAGGCACCTTTTGTGCCGCTTCCCCTCCAGTCCTGGATCAAAGAGATCGCAGTTGACTGTTCGACAATCAGACAAGACGCTTCCTGGTTGCCGGATTATCAGGGTTGAAGCTTTTGGCTTTAATTCGAGAATGTTGCAAGTAGGCTGCAAGGCATGGACCTTTCGACGCCAGTGAAAGTGAAAGTGAAAGTGTTTCTCATGGATCACATCAATGATTGATCCACTATTTGCTGAATTTTGCACGATATAGTGATTAGTCATGTATCATTGATGTATGGATATTCAATATCATAATATGATACCTACAATTCGTATGATATTTTCATGTATCGTATGATACTACTATCAATTGAATTACAAATGTTTTGATATTCATGTTTATCTTGACACATTGCCTCATGGAATGATATCAAAGAGCAATGTCAATATGATAGCAATGGGGTTATCACGTGAAAAGAGTTTATACTTGTCATGTTCAAACAGATGCTCATGATAAAATTCCCACAGTTTGATATTTTCGATGATGTTCTTATTGAACACGTATTTTTTACCTTGCTATGTGTGATAACCAGATGGCGACTTTGCTGATAGACGGTTCAAATCTTGTTCATGTTTTCACGTTGATTGGCGTTGATGGTCCAAATACACTTCTGAAAAGAAACATTGAACCTTGAACAAAAATAGGATGTGGAGGATGATCAACAGCAATTTGTGGGGTTCAATGCTACCCTCTGGCGATTTAACAGTTTGCTGTTGAAAATCACCGTGTTTAAAAACGGTAAAACAATGTGAAACATGGTTCATTTTCGATAGCAAACTATTAAATTACCAAAGTTATACTTCCATTACATCCCTCTATCCCTATAAAACTCCATAAATAGATGATTTTGCCACTGTTTTCCGATTTTCCCACTAACATAGGATACATCAATGGAACATTTGGGATAAACCAGGTTAACGACATCCCAAACATTTCATGAGGATGATCGCAAATAGGAGGCTGGAACCTGAGATCAATGAGATCAATGGCCATGCAACAGGAACCGATTTATTGGAGGTACTTGGTGGCTCATCCCACGAATCGTAAGTGGGTTTTAACCCCAGTTATAAATGGATTAACCCTACTTATCCCATTTATAACTGCGGTTATAACCCACTTGCGATTCGTGGGATGAGCCACCAAGTACCATATATGTGTGGCCTATGTTTTAGGCCTATGTAAGGAGATATAACATGATATAACCCCCAAAATATGGCCAAACATATGGTACGTTTACGTACCTCTATGTATTGGATCCTGGAGATCTCCCATTGATGAGAGCCTGAAAACGAGCATGAAAAATCTCCCCTTAAATGGATGGTTTGTCGGATGGGGCCCCCGTTCGTTGTTTGTTGCGTTCGGTTGCCTTAGAAAAGTTGCTGAATTAACTCTGGAAATTGGATGTTTATGGTAGATATAAACAACTAGTTGCCCTCCGGAATTTGGTAGTCCGCTATTGAAAATGGCCCATAGAAATAGTTGATTTACCTATTAAAGATGGTGATTGTCCTGTTCGCTATGTTAGTTTACCAGAGAATGGATGGTGATTTTTGTTAAGCACATCAGTGGGGGGCACCATCCTGTCGATCATGCACCTCTTTGCATCATTTGAAATTCATCCAGATGAAGCCTGAGCTCGGCCAGCCTGGCCAGCTTGGTGATGCAGGAAATAAATCATAGACTATCTACTGTGAGTTCAAGCCTTTGAGAGGTAGTAATAAAAACATTAAGCCGCACAAAAATGTTGATGGTTTTTTTTAAAACCTAATCAACTGTTGATTAAAAAAACATGTAAATTAGTTGACACTAATTGATAGCGGGTTTAATCTTTGCACACATGAACTGTCAACCAAACCCACAGTATTGAGTCTTTTTCTCACTCCCCCATGAGGGGCCGTTCTGTTAAATGTATCCCGCATGTTCCGAATTATACATCAAAATACATTGAGATATACTAAGCCAAATTTTGGCTCAAACAACATCTTTGTTTTTCCAACGTTGATCTCCTGTCCTCTCCTTTGACCTTCCTGCCCGACGGCAGCGCCGCAGCGAAGGACACGGTGGTGGCACTCAACGCCCTGGCGACGTATGCCATCAGCGCGGGGCAGAGCGTGGATGTGGCGCTGGAGGCGATGGCGACTTCACCCTGGCTGTCAAGAAATATGGTATTTTGAATAAACCTCAACTGGATAGATAGATATATGATATGGGATATACTGGGTAATAGTGTTTTTTTAATGGCATAATATACTGATAGGCTATGGGATAATGATAGGGCATACCCCCAAATTTAGCAATTTTGAAGAGGGAAAATGTGTGGGAAAATGATGGTTATCCAATGTTTTATCTATTGGAATTTCATATCGGGTCATGTGGGTAAAACGCCATTTTGAATAGGGAAAATAGATGGAAAAATGATGATCATTATGTTTTACTTCATTTCTTTTTGCCATTTTGAAAAGGGAATTATCCCATGAAATGAAAAATGATTTAGGAATGTTTATTGAATAGGGAATATGTCAGCCCTTGATAACATGGTATTGATTGATGATTCTTGGGTTTGCCACATTGTATACCAAGAATGGTTATAACATGGAGATGAAAATCGGGAAATGTGGGTAAACACCATTTTGAATAGGGAAAATTGCTATGGGAAAATGATGATCATCTGTTTTTTTTTATCTAATGGAATTGGGGATATATAATCTATTTTCCCATTTCATCATAACTCACTTGTTCAGTGATTGTAAGGATTGGAGGAATCATCTCGTCTATCTACCTTCTGGTAAACTAACATAACTATGGAAAATCACCATTTTTTATCGGAAAACTCACTATAAACTGCTATTTTCAATAGCTATGTTAAATTACCAGAGGGTACATGGTTTGATGATGTTTGGATAAAGAATATATTCGAACATTTACCCAGATTCAATACACAACATGTAGGGCTGGTTCAAATGTCAATTAGGAACCCCTTAAAATGTCATGCTGATGTCATGATGTCATGGCTCACCAATTTTGGTGCCATTTTCTGTGGCATCCACATTTTTAAAAAAGGAACCCAGGTCATGTCGTTTCTCCAGAACAAGGGACATGTCAAGTGTGACCTCGGGCATGGAAATTTACCCTCTGGTTATGACTAACAGTTCGCCATGGTATAGATGGCCCATAGAAATAGATGATTTTCCCATTAAAACCCCATTTACAAGGGATTTTCCATGGCTATGTTAAATAACCAGATGGTACATGCATTTACATCCTGGAGCAAAAAGTGAACCTTAGTTGGATGATGTTCAAAGTTGGTGCTTGGCAACGGGACGGGACCGCAATCTCTGGCTAGACCCAGCTGGTTAAAACAGTGAAAAAACCCAGCTACCGTCTTTCTGGGGCCTCGAAACTCAACATGCATTGAATTTGAAGAAACTATGACTTGGAAACTAGTAAAACACTATTAGTGGCTGGTCCATTTTTTTTTGGTCGAAGTGAAATAGCTGCAAGATACTGTACCTTGATACTGCGAGTTTTTTGCAAATGGCTGTTTTCTTGAATCAATCCCCTTTTACAGTTAAGGCCCGAAATACCAGTTATAAGTACTAAGAAAACCCCATTTATAGAATGTTTTCCCCATAGAAATAACCAGTTTTAGCTAATAGCCATGGCCATAACTGTAGGGACGAAACCCTCAAGTCTTGCTGTTTGGGGTGAGGATGTTCTCACAGGTGAAAGACGGCCAGAATTTCCAAGAATCTCTGCAAGTCACAGCGCAGAATCTTGGGCTTGAAAAAGGGGCTGCTGTTGCTAGGTCAATCTTACATGGATACTTTATATATATATATCTATATTCCCATATATACCATATTAGATTCCCATATGCTAGGTCAATTTTAGATGAATACCTACTAAGCCTTTAGTCTTTTGGTATGAAAATGGGAATATCTACTTACTCACCAGCCAAGAATTTGGTCCATTTTTTGCAGGGGCCCTCTGGCTGATTGGCAATGTTAAGAAGACGATATCGAAAACTCTGCAAAACCATGCAAAACCAGTGATTTCCAGATCTGAATTCACATGTAAAACTCATAGAATAGGTAATTGTGAAGATGTCGGATGATGGTTCTCTTGTGGTGATCCCAAGTTGACAAGCTGCCACCAAAAACGTCAAACATTTCAAGACGTGGTCATGTGTCGCATAAGAAGCATGCAGCACTTAAATGCACATGTGCTAAATCTGGTTGGTGGTTTGCAACATGTTTATTTTCCATTTCATATATGGGATAATCCTTCCCATTGACTTTCATATTTTTCGAGATGGTTAAAACCACCAACCAGAAATTCAGCTTGGCAAATGATGACATTTTGCAGCCAGAAACACCACTAGTTATACTAGTTGTTGAAGCTGGTGAAGCTGAAGCGTCGTTTGCGTTCCGAATCATGGGGATTCAATGATGTCCAACGACACTCCAGAAAGTGATTTCCAACAAGGTGAAACAGCCGCGCTCTATGTAGAATGCCATGATTCCCGCTTGGATTTCCTGTTTTGTTTGGATGATATGTCAAGAAAAAGTGACAAGATCTTTAGGTCATGATGATCATAAAGAGTCATAAAGCTTTGGGGGGTTATTGATTCCTGTAACAGGGGTACTAGCACTTTATCGCGCCCGAGTTGCACTCCATTATTTGCATGTTTGGGTTCCTCGAACGCAAAAGTTTGCGTTCAGCTGCTGTTTCTGCTACTGGAGGCCTACAGGACTCCAAAACAAACAAACATGGAAACTAGCCTTCAGTATTCAAACGTTGAGAAATCCTCTGTAAATAGAGGCTTCTAGCTGGGAAAATCATCTGTAATCCATAGATTATAAATGGAGGAGTGTCAAGCAAGCCATGTTTAACCGGAGGGTAGAGGCCGGGATGAGTTGCCAATAGGGCGACCGCACCCCCCCAAAAAACAGTGATCAAAAGCTGAATGGGCAGAAATTGGTGTGCCAATTGGTACTATTAGGTATATATTTCTTTTAAAATCTATGATATAGGTCTGTAGGGGGTCTTTCCCAAAGATCTATGGTTCAGCAGAATGTTTCAACAATTTCCACATTTGGAATATATATATATATGGTACCCGCCCAAAAAAACCTACTCTCTTATGACTTTGACTGGTATTTACAGTATTTTCGGTAGTAGGTTTTGGGGGGGTTAGCATGTACATATATATATAAAGATAATTTTCCCAATGTTTTTGTTATGACAAGGGATCAAAAAGGCCCTGTGCCCTGCGGGCCCTGCGGGCCCTGCGGGCCCCCGAGGAACATGGACGTGCTGCAAAGCCTCTCTCCCCCGGTGACAAGTGGCGCGATGCCACTGACGGTGACCGGCAGCGGCAGTGGCATGGCGCTGGTCATGGCCAATCTGGAGCAACGTGGCAAAAGATTCACGAAGAACGGTGCCCCATCGGAAAACTAAGAAAGATATGAATGACGTTTATATGGATATATATAGCTGATTTATGACTAGGTTGGTGAACATCACTCTAATTTCACTAGGACTTATGGTAGATATGTCTATTGTTAACGAGGCAACACATTGTAGGAACGGTGGTTTGATTGATTGAAATATATTGAAATATGGGTAAAACCATTCCCTAAAAGATAGAAAAGTATTTCCAGGTGGTTGTACTGTAGATCATATTTGCTTATATAACAAAAATGTTGCGGGGAAATCACATTTGTTTTATTCCTGTTGAGAAAAACATCCCATAAATAACTGGTTGGTGGTTTGGAACATTTTTTATTTTTCCATAATATATGGGATAATCCTTCCCATTGACTAATATTTTTCAGAGGGGTTGAAACCACCAACCAGTTATAGTGGTGATTTCCCCTGATGGGGAAAACAACTCAATGAGTACAAGGGTGCAATGGAAGCACGTTGGTGACAGGGAGGAGCAACGAAGGCAAAACAACAAGGCGCATGCAGAACCATGTTTCAAGGAAAGTGATCTACAAATTATGGGTTTTCCATATCTTTTTTTTCCATATCGTTTTGTGGATGTACTTACTTTAGTGAACGAGTTATAGCTAAAGCTATAACCATGAAGCTACGGACAGTATACAATCCAGAAAGGAATCTTGTGAATCATCTAGTAATAAACCTTTTTCTCAGCTTGTGACACATCCCCTACTTGCTTGGTGAGTTGTTCCTTGGAACCAGATTTCATTGGAATATGGATGGCAATATGGTTGCTCCATATCTATATAAATTTACTGGAGGGTAAATAAGAAGATCATCGAAGATACAATACGTTCTAGTTGGTGGTTTCAAACATGAATTTGATTTTCCAATAATATATTGGGAACAATAATCCCATTTGATTTTCATATTTTTAAGAGGGGTAGGCTCAACCACCAACCAGCGTTGATGTTGACCATTCAACAGCGGAGTTATGAAGGCTTTCGAACGTAAGTGTTCGCCTTAAAGCAGGCATGGATTTTTTCAAGACATGAATGAGCCAAGAAAACATTATTCAAATGTGATTTTTGCTGAGAAATTTGTGCTTTGCCGACTGGGATTGGATATTTATATACATACATACATATATACATATATACATATATATACATATTTATATTTTCCTCTGAGAGGGTTCAAGTTGCCCAACGATAAAATGGATTTCAACCATACTGCCAATCAACGCGGCAATAAACTCATTATTTTGTTGACTGAGCATGGGTAGTTAAACTATTGGACAAAACTTCAGCATAGTCGACCAGTAAAGATGAAGACCTCATCGATATCCTTTTCCCACTGGCTGCATTGTTGATTGCATTTTCTTGAATAAGACATCATGAATATATGAGTTGTCTGAAACTCTGCTGTTCCATGACAATTCTTATCAAAGTTGCCATCAATTGGAATCAATTGGGGCTAAATTATTTCATTTTCAGACACACCGAGTGGGATATTGTTGGTTTCTCCCACTATCACCATATTCCAGTACAGTACACATTATATCAGCATTAAATGATTCGCAGACCAACTCTTTAGACACATTCAAGAATGAAATGGCTGGTTGTATATATCCCGTTATCACTAAGGAATACCATTCATATCCCATTATGTGTTCATCGCCTGGGTGATATTGTTACCGTCTGGTTGTTATTTTTGATCGGTTCCCTATTGAAAATTGCCATTTATAGTTGATCTACCTATTAAAAATGGTGGTTATCCAGTTCGCTATGTTAGTTTACCAGAGGGTAAATCATTGAACCACATGAGCAATGGCTTATGGTTTCCGTAGCAAACTGAGAAATTACCAGAAGGTAAACTGGTAAACCCCACCCATCTTTGAACATATCGCCGTGACATGACGTGTACCTGCGATGCCCAGGTACAACATGCCCGATTGGGTGCCGCAGGGGAACCGGGGGCCCTTGTGGTGGGATAAAGTCCTATTGCGAAACTGTCTTGGAGTGCGCAACTAATGTTGCGAAACTATTCGTTAGTATTGCACAACTATTTGGTTGTATTGCGCATGCGCAACTATTCTTGCGCAACTATTCTTGCGCAACTATAGGATTGCGCAACTGGTATTTCGGAACTAATTTATCGTATTTCGCAACTCTTCTTGCGCAACTCGTATTTGGAAACTACCGTCTCTAACTTTCCGCAGCTATTCCTACGCCAATTCCTAGTCTGCTAACATTGGATCAAGCTGCGCACTTACGTGATGCCACGCTCGAGATGGGGTGGGGGGTATTGCTTGAGCTGCTGCATGCGCTCTATACAAACACCGAGATGTCTCTTTGCTTGCGCGTGACCATGAGCCGACTACTGAAATCTTGGGAGAGGTAAAGAGACAGAATCCTCCGTGTGCACACTGGGCTGGTGATCTGGTGCACGGGAAACTTTGGGAGTTTCAAAAAACAAGTTTCAGAGAAAAGGCCGGGTTCCGAAATACAACTGGTCAGTTGCAAAATACAACCGTGAAGTATCAAAATATCAGTTGCAAAATACAACTGTTTAGTTTCAAAATACAACCGTTTAGTTTCAAACTAATACGTTGCCCGGCCATTGTGGGTAAAGTTCATTACAATCTACGGTTGTAGCCCTGAAGAATTATAGATGAGATTACAACTCCTGCAACTAAGGTTGTACTATAAGCCAGTTATAGTTGTTAAGAGCTGCAGCTGCAGAGAACGGAACGGTGTAAGTTTTTTGGAAAACTTAGCTATGGATCAAAACGTCAGAACCCTGGTACCATTGGTGAGCCCCAAACTAGCCGCAACTAGCTGCAACTAGCTGGTAGATTGGCAAGTGATGGTTCGTCCTCCAGATATAGGTATTGACCCATCCCCACCTTATCTGCCTTGTTTTGGGGTGTTTGATGCTGAGCCATACTTATAATTACAAAATGTAGATCAAGTATGATGAAATGATCAACGCGTTTTTGGAGAAGATGAGATTGCACACTCCCATGGGATCTCTCTTTACGACGATTGCATTGGAAAGATGGGCGCACCCGAGAATTTCCGTGCATCAATCCACTTGCCTGCCTGTGGATGGTGCTTCACCAGTGCCAGCGATTCTCCAAGTGGTTTCATGGTCTGTTGGAGGCCACACCCCCTCCTACACTGCTCCATGGAACTTAATCCTCCATTGCGAAGAGGTTGTTCCTGGAAACCCCCTGAAACCCACTAATGAGAGGAAGCTCGTTGCGCTTTATTGGAGCTGGCTTCAATACGGACGACTGTATCGGGAGCACGTGCATCCAAAGCTCTTCACAGTGGACCGGTCCGTCCACATGAAAAAGATAAGGGGTGGGTACTCCCTCAGGATTCCGAAGCGGAGAGCGAGGCGGAGACCGAGTCTGAAGCGGAAGCCGTGCAACCGCAGGGTCCACAGATTATCTGGAGGACCCGCGCGGAAGAATTCATCCGCAGAGTAACATTGAGGCTCGTGCTCCAGATAGGGTGGCAGAACAGGTTGCCCAATGAGGCAACCAGAATGGTGGCAGGTTACCTGCTTGGATGAGTGGAAAACATGTTAACAGTAAACATGGGGGTGAAAGGATGGTTTCTACTTGGTAAGTCGTCAAAGACAGACGGCCAGAACTTTGACAACGCAAACCGTGAAACGGCAGTTTGAGACATACGAGGCAAGAAAGGTAAATACTAGGCATGGCTTGCTGCACCATCTTTGTGGCACAGTTGCTACACGTGAACTGCACGAGTGCAATAAAAGCACGCGCTGGAGCTGGCAATTGCCCGCGCGATTCCTTCAGCCGACTCCATTGCACTTGCAACGGGTCTGGAAGTCAGCACGCTGCTCAGATTTTGTTGCCAGGTCGCAGCAAGGAAACTTCCGTTCCTTATCGCCAGCTATAGGTCGCCATGCTTCTCACACTGCTCATTCACGCGCAACAAGCAGAGGAGCATAAGAACAACAAACATAGACACACACATACGTAGAAACAAAGACTTATAGACAAATACCGATTCCTGCACATTAACACGACAACAAGATTCGGGTTCGATCACTAAAAAAGTTGAAGTCGTCAGACGACGGACTTGAGGTCAACTATCAAGGCAACAACAGGAAATTAAATTCAGTGCCCAACCTTTCCGCCAATGTCAGGCGATGGGTGACGACTACTACCAGTTCGGCAGCCAAGTGTTGCTTCGAGGGCAGGCAGCGGCATACGAGCGACTTCGTTTATGCCGAGGGATTCAGAGGACCAGCAAATCACACTCATAGCATCATTGCTTTGTCGAGGGACTCAGAGCACCATCGAATCACACTTATAGCATCACTGCTTGTCACTGTCTCTGCAATCCAATCTAGCGACAGGCGACATTGGATAAGAACATCAACAAAGAACAGCTTGGTCGCATGAAGCAGAAGGCCGGGTCCACAAAACACAGGGCGCACAAAACACACCGTGTTCACTCAGAAGTGTTCGCGTCGCTACGTGGTTTGTGTTTACGTAGGACTTGAGCACGTAGAACTTGGTTGTTACCGTTGAGTTGCCTGCAACGGCCTAGCAGGACCTACGCCACCGCTGGCCGCACAGAACAGGCACAGTCAGCTAATAGGAGCGTAGTGTACAGACAACGCTCCTTTCACCGGGGCGCTCACAGCAACTGCACATGGATTTTGTGAGTTAATGATATCATACGTCATACGTAGGAAGCATTGGAATTTCAAACGTTCAAAAAGCTGGCGGCCCACGTTGGAATGGCCCTGCAGCCGTCCACACAGTCGGTTGCCCAAGGCGAGCCGATTGTTTTTTACGGCACCGATGGGCCTGCGGATGGGAATACAGTTGTCATTTCCAAACATGGCGGACCGCTTTCTTTTTGGACGACTCTCTATGGTCGTGGCGGATGAAGCTGCCCTGAAGCAGCTCTGGTTGGTCCTTCAGAAGGGCTGGGGGGACAATGACACTGATGTGCTTTACGGCTTTAAGTGTTCAAATGTTGTTGCTCACATTTCTCGGCGGGATGTTCACGATGCTTCTGGTGTTCTGGTGTCCAGCTGCATCACCACTTTCAGTCAGTGCAGGCTCCAGATCTGTGATGCAATATATAGGTATATTAATATATATATATATAAAGTTACGGACACTCAGTTAGAGTATGAAAAACTAAGATTTATTAAATAAACAAACTAAAAAATAGTAGCTCCGAACGAAATCTAGCACTTACAATATGAAGAATACTAAAAAAACAATGATGTCTTGATTTTTGCAACGTCGAACCTAATGAAAACCAATGTTTTTTGCAAGGTGATGCTGTTGTGGGATCAATTATGTTATTGTTTTTGCAACATCGAACCCAATGAAAAACAATGGTTTTTGCAAGGTAAAGCTGTTGTGGGATCAATCACGCCTTTGTTATTGCAACATCAAACCTAATGAAAAACAATGGTTTTTACACGGTAATGCTGTTGTGGGATGAATCATCTCTTTGTTTTTGCAACATTCAATCTAATGAAAAACAATGTTTTTTTGCAAGGTGATGCTGTTGTGGGATCAATTATGATATTGTTTTTGCAACATCGAACCCAATGAAAAACAATGGTTTTTGCAAGGTAATGCTGTTATGGGATCAATCACGTCTTTGTTATTGCAACATCAAACCTAATGAAAAACAATGTTTTTTGCACGGTAATGCTGCTGTGGGATGAATCATCTCTTTGTTTTTGCAACATTCAACCTAATGAAAAACAATGGCTTTTGCACAGTAATGCTGTTGTGGGATGAATCATCTCTTTGTTTTTGCAACATTCAACTTAATGAAAAACAATGCTTGTTGCAAGGTAATGCTGTTGTGAAAACAATAACTTGGACATGAAGAAAGTTGACCCCATAATCATAATAATTGAATTTGCTGGGATGGAATCCACTTAGAATATCCCTATGATTCATTATCACCAATGAATCAATATACTACTGTACAGGGTTTGGGACTGGTTGTAGGCTACTGTGTAATTATATATATATGCAGTGAGATTACGGTACTGTAAGTGTGGATTGCTGATATGTATTGCAAAATAATGGTGTTTTTGCTGATACGTATTGCAAAATAATGGTTATCTATTGTTATGGAAATGTTATTTTTTCATATTCTATCTGCATTCATAAACGAGGTATTTTAATTGCGTTCCCAAATAAATAAAATAGATAAAAAAAACATATTCTATCTTATTCAAACAAATAATAATATTCTAAGTGGTTGTCCGTTATAGTATATACATACACACATACAGTGTTTCCGACTTCATTTTGCATTTTAGAGTTTCCTTTTTCTGACAAGCATCCGTTTGAAAAGCTGGTCTCAATTCGGAGCTAGGACCCAAAAAATTGACGTGTTCAAGAAATATCAATATTTCTACACAAGCAACACTTGCACCCGCACAAGGTCATTACTGCAGATAAAACGCTCCTACAATACCAGTGGGCATAGTGTGTTGGCATGTTGTTGCCATACTCCGATCCTACTAGCAAATACCGTATTCTTGGTTTTATTCATCGCTCTCTCACCACACAAAAATGAAAGCATTTTGTATCCATGAAACAAGTATTATGTGTTCTTATTTTGTATCTAGAAGACCAACTGACTAGAACCCATCCCAACCCCAAAAACATCAGTTTTGCTCGGTTCCCGGATCCATTCTTGGATGCGCGCCCAGTTAGTAAGTGCTTCATGAGACATCTAAGACTGAGAATACTGCAAATATACATCTATATGTATATACATAAACATATGTATAGATAGATAGATAGATAGGAAGGATTAGATAGATAGATAGATAGATGGATAGATAGATAGATTGACAGACAGACAGACAGATAGATAGATAGATAGGATAGATTAGATTAGATTAGATAGATAGACAGGATTAGATAGATAGTTAGGTAGATAGATAGATCGAATAGAATAGAATAGAATAGATTTGATTAGATGAGATAGATAGGTAGATAGATATGTATACATTTATGTTTTTATTTATGTCTTTTTTGTGTTTATATATTGTGTATTTTTGCATATTCATGTATATATTTATATATATATATTTACATTTTTGTATATTTACATATTTGTACTTAAATTTATGTTTATATACATACATGTTTACATATTATGTATGTATATATAGGGCCTATAGGTATACTATGGTCATCAACCACTTCCAAACTGCCATTCACCCCCAAGTAGCCAACACAAACCGCCAATTGGCCAGGAGTTACCGCCTTGCTACACTGTTGAGGCGCAGGGGCGATAGTGGCGCTGCTATCTACCAGTATTATATTATTGTATTAATTATTCGATAGTATTATGTATAGTAAATGTATTAAATTACATATCAACCATAGTGATATAGCAAATATATTTATATATACGGTATTCAATTGTATTTATGTCTAATGTTTTAGTGTTTTATGAATACTTATATACATATATCAGTTAATGTCAGAATAATGATACAACCGTGGAATAGTGGTGTACCATTCAATAATGATACAACAGTATTAGTATAGATTTGCCATATTATTGGAATTTTACATGACCAATTGGATATCAATGATCGTCGCAACGATATTTTCGTTAATAAGGGTTCAAACAAGGTTGTTTTACAATATCAAGGTAATGAGATGATATCATATCTATTGCTGCTGATCTTGCTGTTGTAAAAAATCATGTCATTGAGATATCCACTATGCATGAATGCATGAGATACTATTTGGGAATTGAATGGCAAGTGGAACCATATTAGCTACTACTGGTTTCAAACACAAATGAGTCGATGATTGTTTTATTTTCCCAGTTGGAAATCCACTACGACGGGGAATCTTTTGGGGAAATCTCCTGAAGCAACTCCAAGAATTTCCCGGAGATTGATCCCCAAGTGATCACCAAACATGGCAAGCACGGGGTTCATGACGTGTGACCAAAATGCTTATGCGGCCATACTCGCCATACTTAAAGGGGTATGTATACCCCACGTTGCGGGGAATACATCGACGGTTGTACATATTTGTACATCATATTACTGGTTGGTGGTTTGGAACATGTTTTATTTTTCCATTCCATATATAGGGAATAATAATCCCAACTGACGAACTCATATTTTTCAGAGGGGTTGAAACCACCAACCAAATTAGCGTTTAATTCCTTAACACTAGTTGTAGTAGATTTAGTGGTAGATTTCGATCCGGTTATTTTGGGGTCCAAAGAGTTAGGGGCAACACGATCGAGACTAACAACAAGAAACCTGCAATATCTGCTGCTGTTCGTTACTTTCTCACACAAACAAAATGATTATGATAAGAGAGTTGGGATTTATTTAAAGCACAACATGATGGCAAGATGTTAGTTCCAGTGATGTGGGTAAAACAATTTCGTAAACCATCTCCAAATCACCATTTTTATAGGTGTTATGTTTACCATTCCCAGTGATGGGTGGTTTATGACATTGTTTTACCCACATTATCCCCCATTCCAATAGATACAAAATGGGATGATCATCATTTTCCCATATTAATGTTCCCTATTCAAAATGGCTAAATTTGATGGTATACCCTATTATTATCCCATAGTTTCAGTATATTATGCCATGATATTCCATTACCCAGTATATCCCATATCTATCTATCCAGTTGAGGTTTATTCAAAATGGATATTTGGAGGTATAATTCACATCATTAACAGCCCCATTGGATTCCGCCCTGAGAGGTGCAGTGGTTTGGAACAGGTGATGCAGATGCAGTGCAAGCCTGTGGTCTTTTGGTGGAGTTCTTTCGGGGGAACGGCACATCGAGGTTTTCTAAAATGGGGATGGTTAATATAGTGAAATATAGTGAAATATGGTGAACTATGGTGAGATATGAGGCACATATAGTTCTGATAATGGCTGCTGTGGTGAAATGTGGTGAGGGAGAATATCGTCGGACATAGTATATGAGTTCTCGAAAATAACCTCTAGCAATCCCCTGGGGACAATTTTAATGGGATTTACATAGCCAAAACGGGTATTCCATTTATTCAACCAATGAATAATGGATTGAACCAAAAATGTAAGTGAATCTTGAATCAGTTCTGGTTGGTGGTTTGGAACATTTTTCCATATTTTCGGAATAATAGCCCCAACTGACTTTCATATTTTTCAGAGGGGTTGAAACCACCAACCAGAGTTTGTACTTATACACCATGCATTGGGTGTTAACCTGGTGAAATACGGCGATGGACATATTC